CGAAACCAGTAATCCCGTTCCAAATGTTAGTCGGGACAAAGATGGAACGTAGTTAAAAACTAGGAACGAATTCCTGTAATGGAACGGAACTGCTTCTCATAACAGCAGACTTTTGATTTTGATTGAGAGGGACGATGAAAAAATAAAAAGAAAAAGCGAGTTTTTATTATAAGTAAAAATTCAATATAATTATTGTGAAATGAACCAATATACTATTTAAAATTAATTTTTTTATAGGTTTGTATAATTGTAAGGATTTTCATTAATATTTTTATGTTTTACTTATTACATATACTTGAAAATATTATATTAAAAACAAGGGAGAGGGGAAACAGCATTCATAACATTGGTGCATTTCTAGAATTTTGTCAGCTAAAAATGAAAAGTGTAACAAAAGGAAAAATATCTTTAAAAAAGAAGGCAAAAATAAATGATAATATTTATTTTTACATATGCCTTCGGCGATATACAATGAAATTTATATTAATACAATATTAATTATTACAATGATATTGATGATATTGATAATTATACAATGATATTGTTATCCAACGATATTGATAATTATACAATATTAATACAATGAAATTTTGCATATGTAAAAATAAATATTATCATTTATTTTTGCCTTCTTTTTTGACTGACCACCCCAACTATTCTTCTCTTCATTATCCACGACAGTCAACCATTTACCAATTATGAAAAATATCTTTGATTTCATAATGTTTACAAAATCAAATAAAAATACGTTTAATATTCTGACTAGTTTGTCGCGGAAAATATGATAATAATAACACATAAAAATTGAGGAATGATTGAATAATAAAATCTTAGGGTATTTTGATATTATATTATTAACTTCGAATATAAATAAAAGTTTAAATTAAAGTAATATTTAGGTATTAATAAAATAGTTAAACACCTAAATATAGCCTAGCTAGCTAGTCGATTTTTTAAAATCGATTTTAGTATACACATTTTGTTCATTCATGCAGCTTATTTCTTAATGATTTTAATTTTTTTAAAGCAATTTATTGGGGGGGGGGAGAGGCGAAACGATATTCTCGCTCCCTCATCATTTTTATTGGGGGCGACTGTACCCTCGCCCCATCCACTATCTCGCAACTCTTTTGGATTCGAACTTTTTACTCATCTGTTGCAAAATTTGACAATTTACAACAATAATTTCCTTTTTTTCATTCAAAGACAATATTTTATTGATAAAATTTCATTTTGTTAACTTGATAGCTACATATTGGTATTGGTTTTAAATTTTAGAAATTTTATTACTAATTATTTAAGAAAATAGGAAGAAATAAAAACATGTTGGTTTTAGGACAAATATACTATTAAGTTGATACAGTAGTGGACATATGGGAGAGAAAACGAAAATATTCCCATCTAATATAACAATTGAGAAAAAAACAAGACTGTTTTAAAATATAACTTGTCCAACAAAATATACCTTGTTCTACAAACTGCAATACTCGTGCATAAATTATCATTCATAAGGTGAGTGGAAATAAAAAAAAAAACTGACACGCTTTGTGAGAAGTCGATCGTTATAAACGACACAACAATCGATTTTAAACAGTGCCACATATAATTAAATAATCGATTAATTACAATTTTTCTCAAACATAAAGGGGCGTTTAGACATTTCACAAATTATGGTACAAACAAATATGTAAATGATTATTTCACTATGCTAGAATTTTTGTTTCTTATTTTTAATATTTTACATCAGCTGCCGATATCAAGAGAAATAAAATAAATAGTTTGGTTTAGCAATAATAGCGCTGTTAGTCGAGTTAGATAATTGGGTTTCCCATAGTTTGTGAAATATCTGAAAAAAAAAAAGGTCTCGATATTAGGAAAATCTCTCCGAAGAAAAGGGATTAATTCAGAGAGCATTGATTCTCTCTTTTACTTAATTTAGATGTACGGTTTATTTATACTAGTTTCACATGAATTAATACAATATTTTAAACATCAAAAGCTTGCCCTTAAAGCATTCATTTCGAGGATGTGAACTAGCAGAAAATTAGTGATGGAGGTGTACAAATTACCTTATATATCACAACTAAAATATTTTAATATAATATGGTACTTACTTAACAAGTGGTCTGAAAATTAATTTTTATATTAAATTCATTGAATATATTTTTAACAGTTTAACGTATTGCATACCTCATCCAAGATTTGGCTCCGGTCCTCAATACCTTTTGCTACGCCACCAATGAAATTCTCACTGAAGATTGGTTCAGAAACACTGCTTCTATAATATTGTAATAGGTATATGGTAACTAAACTTTGGACCTGTTACTGATTTGCTAAAAATAGCAGGTACGGCATAAACGAGTATTTTCACTAGTATTGCGTACGACCGCTAAATGCGCCAGCTTCTCTACCTGTTCTGCTATAACCTGCTCTACAGTGCCTTAATAATAATTATTAAGTCACTGTAACCTGTTCCACTGTAATCTGTTCCAGAAATACTAATATCTAATAACCGGTCTCGTGAGTCTACGTAACGTGATACCTAATACAGGCTCAGGATTAAATAACCGATTTTTTTTTTAACTTACCTTAAAAATAAGAATCTCGGACCCTAAAATAACCTAGCTCCACTTAAGTATGAAGGTTCTTTATTGACATATTGAATGATAGATATTTAGTAACAGGTATTTATTTGTAAGTTGATCTGTTTAACTAGTTTGGACTATCCAAAACGAACGTTTACACTTTGGTGAAAAAGATTTCATTATTAGGGAAATTATAAGATTGTGAAGGAGAAAAAAAAGGGAAACAATATTTAACCATTAAAGCCTAATCTAAGCACTGTTTAATGTATGTTTTAATAATATAAATAACAGACATAAAACGAGTAGTTATAGATAATATTACGTATTATTTTGTAAATATTAGAGTGGAAGAGGAAAGTAAGCACGTTATGAGGGAAAGAAAGGGAAAATCTGATTGTCCAAAAGGGAAAATAATAATGTAGTGGAAAAACTGTCCAAAACTCTGAAAAATGAAATTCAATACTGTCGTTAAGTCTCCTTTAAAAGGCCAATCAATGTACCTAATCTGGAAATTTTTTTTAATAGCTATTTAAAAATTAAAACATCAATATACGAATGGTGCACTTAGCATTATTATTCTGAACAAAACTTAACAAATGTTGATTTTATATTAAAAAATAATTTTATAGAAGTAGCACTTTTTATGCCATAAAACTTAATTACTTAAAAAACCTAATTTGGAAGAATTTCTGTCTTTAAAATAAGTTTGAACTTATTATTTTGCATTTTTGAATTTATTTTTTTCTAAGGAATTTGATAGGCATGCTGCTACTACTTTTCAAACGAGGATTTTTGATTACTTCTTCTCCAAATGATTTCACACAAGTAAGAATCGATCATACTCCTTCTTGTTCCACATTCCTTTTCATTGGATTGTCCGAAAATAAGGCAAGGTTTTGAGTTTTGGTTCTTGTGAACTACGTGGTCTCTATGGACTGCTATCTGTCAATGTTTATAACCTCAATACTGATAATTGTGATAAGGTACTGATAATCCCTATTTTCATTTGAAATCCAAAAACACAAAAACAAATGTAATAATAACAAAACTAAAATACCCCTTTTTATAACAAACTGTTTATCTTTACTGGATTATTCATTTGTATGAATGTCAACACTTATTATCTTCCACACGTTAATGTTTCTTTAGCTCTGTAGCATTTCACTGCTTAGAAAAAGTTCAGTCTTTATTAAGATGTCAACGCGCGATTTTCGTATAATTTTGTTTTGCTAGTTTAAAATCGGCCGGAATGGCGCCCAGACAGCCAGAACATCAATCAAGTCTGAGGCAAGAACAGCTTTAATGAGTGCACTGTTCAAAGAATTGCAGATGGGAGACTTCAGCCTTGAAGACCAAGAAAGTTGTAGAAGGACTTCTTGTCTTGATGATGATATTCTACTGGCTTTGGTGGAAGAAACGCCCAGAACAACTGTTGGAGAACTTGCAGGGTAACTTAACCTTAGCAAATCGACCGTTGATGTCCACCTCAAGGCGATTGAAAAAGTGAAAAAGATTGATTGTTGGGTTGCACATACATGAAGTTTGTGCTACATTTCTTTATAGAAACAAAAACGACCCTTTTCTGTCTAGAATTGTTTCTTGTGATGAAAGGTGGATACTTTATGATAACAGTAGACGTTCTGGACAGTGATTTGACAAAGGAAAAGCAGCACAGCATTTTCCAAAGCCCCCAACTCCTCAAAAAAAGGTTATGGTTACTGTTCCGTGGGCTGCATTTGGTTTGATACACTGCAGCTTCTTAAATCCTGGCGAAACCATCAATTCTGAATTGTATTGTAACCAAGATAATGCAATGCATTAGAAATTGGCAATAATAATTGGAACTATTTTGATTTATTAAAAAACTTGTATATATTTCTTTTTAAACCAAAATTCTGCATTATTTTCCAGACAACCCAATATTACGATATTATATTATTTTCTATTATGAACTACCCATTTCTTACGTTTTATAAAACATATGTTAATAGTATCAATTATGAATCACATAACATGTTTAAGTGACTATTCATAACTGTGAACTAACAAAGGTGCAAACAAATTCACAGGTGTATTTTAAGCAGAAAAGAGCCCACAAATCTGTATATTACTTCTCATAGAATTGCTTCCGTGAAAAATCCTTTATCTTGCATGCTTCCTTATTTTTCTCAATTTTCTGCCAGATAAATAAATATGTAATTGTAATTTTCTATTATCTGTAGGAGGCTGTATCCCAGAATAAAATTTACTTTATTTTTAAAGAAAGGAGATGGTCCGGGGTAGCGGTCATAAATAGGCTAAATAGTGGCAAAACTATTTAGCCTATTTATGACCGCAACCCCGGACCATCTCCTTCCTTTATAATGCTACGGTCAACTATTAAATATTCAATACTTTCTTTTTATATTCACGTTGGATGAATCCTGACTAAATATCTTAACTTCTTAATTGTAAATAGGATAAAAATGGAAAATAAATGATGATGCAAGTTATATATTATTATATTTACCAGTAAAATAAGTTATACTTTACATGTGTGTCTATACATTATAAATAATTTATAAATAGATCAAAATAAATTAATTATTCATTAGATTAATGAATAGAATAGACTATTTACAACCTTTGAAATAATTTAAGTTAGCAAGCACAATTAATAACAATAACAATTTGTTAACATTAATGGGAACCATTCTCCGCTTAAACCTTAATTCAATAATTAAATTATTGTAATTAAAACTACATTATCTTCAATAACCTGAATCAAACTCTTACATTCCATCAACTAAAATATAACTTTGTTGATGAATGAAAGAAAATTAATGACAGATAATATGAAACAATAAGATGAATACTGCAGTTAGTTTTTTTTTTTTTTTTTAAATATTAAGTTAAAATTTAGAACAAGAGCTTAAAGATAACAAAATTAAACTCAAGTTAAAGAAAGAGAGAGACGTTAATATCAATTTTTTTAAAATTTTAATTTAAATAAAAAGAAATTTGGCAGCCGTAAAAACAGAATAATTTACAATAATATAAAAACTTAAAGGCCACCGCCAGATCTCTCAACAGGAATCTTCTTTTTTATTTGAGCTTTTTCGTGTTCCATTTCCGCCATTCGAGCAAACCGACTTGCAGTGGCACTGATATGTCCCGCCTTTACAGCAGACATCATCTGGAATAAAATAAATTCATGTCATTTTATGTTTGGAACAAATTTATTTAACCTTTCGGTATATATCACTAATCCATAACTTTCTAAAAGAATTTACATATGAAATGTTGAAGCTCTACTAATATAAACCTAATAATATACAATTTTTACTAACATTAAGTTATTTTTTTGACAAGTTTCATGATAAATATAGCCGATAAAACTCAGAATTTTTCCAAAAGATCAATTTTCCCCCACAATTATCAGTATTGTTTGGTACTATACACAGTCATAAAAGGAAATGAAAAGGGATGCCAATATATAAATTTAACAGTTTCGACAGGTGGGAAAAACATGATAATTGTTTTAAATGAAGTTATACCGTCGTTTCCACTTCCCTTTATACAAAAGAAATCTGGTGTGTGCAACACACAACTTTCATTTACCTATCTACTATGAATAGAAATTATTTTATGGCAATGCTGGGCTATCATACAATTTTTTGAAGTGAATTTTAAACGGAGCTAAAGCTTAAAGCTTACAGATAACAAGTAATTAAGACCATTATAATTACAAAATGTCTATTTAATATATCGATGACAGGCAATAAAAATATAGTCACTCCATCTGCTTTTATAAACCACACAACTTTCTTTGCTTTTATAAACCACAGAATGACTAACTCCAATTTCAACATTTTTGAGTGATGTCATTTTAGTGATATTTTAAGTTGAAAAAGTTATCTATGCAGACAGTGAGTAATTTGATTCCAGAGGTGGTGATTGCAGTGTTAAAATATAGAACTGAGAATAAAGGTATAAATTTAGGTACTTATTTCTTATGAAAGATGTTCTTAGGAAAGACACTTTATTAAATATCTGTAGAAAAAAGTTTTTTTTAGTCTCAACAATTAAAAAAATATATTTTAAATTTATCCAAATTTTCGCCTCTTCAGGGAAAAAAACTAGAGACCATATCTTTCCTCCTAATTGTCCGATTTTAACAATTTTTTTTGTTTTTTTTAGGAAATTCCATAAACTTTTAAAAAACCATAAATATCTCCAAAAAAGCGTATAATTTTTGAGTTATTCAGAATTTAATTTTAACATCCCTTGTAACTTTTTTTCCTGCTTCTTTTCGTTGAAGTATGTTATACAGATAAGGGGTCGAGAAAATGACTTTAGCGAAGTTTCATTAAAATCGGTACATTCGTTTAGGCGCTACAGTCTGTAGAAACGCAGGTTTTTCTGCATTTTTATTTTTTTCTCCTTTATTCAATTATCAAATTCTTTCAAAAGTTATATTTAGCATTTTTTCATAACTTTTAATAATGAGAGATAATTGATTATTTAAAATAAACTATATTAAAGGAACTTTAGAAGAAGACGCATATGAACATTGGGCATTTAAGCCCTGTAAAGTGACATCAACGGGGATAAGACCTGAATGTTATTAAAGACCACTTAATTATGCAATGATGCACTGAGTTTAACCAAAATCGTTAGAGCCGTTTTTGAGAAAATTGTAAAAATATGTTTCAGCGTTCATATAAAGTGGCACTTCCGGTTAGCCGATTTTAACGAAAAAGTTGCTGTCACATCCGGCCCATATACAAACCTTAAATACTTAATATCAGTTTCGTACTACTTTTCGTTTATGAGCTAGACTGTTAACACACAGAGACCATTTTGCGACACTTAGTTATTTGAACTCAGGGTACCTCAAAACATGTATTTCCGTTGAAAACTGAGATTCGAAAATTTTCACGATCGCAATACTTACCCTTACTGTATATTACATATATACGTAAGTGAAAGTAATACCTATCTATTCTTTGGTTGGCAAGTGAAAGTTGTGTGATACAAGCACCGCACAAATTTTTTTTTGTATAGTAAACATCAGTATTCCTCAAACAGGGACAGAAGGGTAGGTTACAATCCTACTCCAGCTGAAGTGTGATCAGGATTTATTATATATATAAAAAAATAAAAGTTAAGTGTCTCAAGATAGATTTGAAGGGCCCAGTCTGGCGCTGCCCAATCATGCTCGGCTATGAAAGCCTCAAATAATGTAATGCTATTTCAAAAAAATGTATAACAGCTAATTTAAGAAATCCAAAGAGATAATAAATACCTGAAGATACTCGTCTAATTCTACTTGGCCATTCATATTTGTGTCTATTTCCCTCAACATCTCATGAAGCTCTTCTCCGGAAATATGTACATCACCAAAATTCTGTTTAAAACAAAAAGTTAAAATAAATGTAATTGAAACAAGTATGATATAATAGCATAAAACACATGCAAGCAAACACGCATAATTCATGATAAATATAAATATTTTTGACACAGATAGTTTTAAATATAGTACAACAAACAAACCTTCATAATATTATTAAAATGCCAACAAAATAAATATATTTTATTTCATATTGATTTAGCTCATGGAATTGATTAAACACCACGAGGAGGAAAAAAAAAATAGGTGTTATCACTTTTTTTTTTAACTGAGTTATTAATAGGTTAAAATAGATAAAATTAAACAATTCTATCACATCAAAGGCACAAAATAAATATATTCTGATCCTTTAAAAAATTGTTTTGAAAAATAACTACAACGGGGAATGTAAAGTAGGTCCAAATTTGAATTTCGTTTTTTTTCTCTCATTGACGTTTTTTAGACAATACCTGTTTTTCTCCAGTGATCTTCAACTGTATATTTTAAAAGTGTCAAGAAAGTAAAAAAAATTATATAGTGAATAAATTTCATTTTATTAAACTGTAACTGTAACTTGAAGTCACTGGGACCTAAACTGAAAAATTAGCAGGAACTGAACTGAACTGAAAAAAAAGTTTCAGAATTTGTACTAGTGCTCTTATATATGTTAAAGATTGTTAATTATGTCTATGTTATTATAATAAGACATCAAGGTATAATTTATGATGTTTTTTAAATAGTTTTAAGTAAATCTGTACTGGGTTCAAGTACTGTCTCAAGATACGGTACTTAGTTTATAATATTAATTTGAATAAAATGCTTTAAAAAATATTACGGGTTTATTGCATTTTTCTTGATTCCAAAACTTTTAAACTAAATTTGGAGGTTTTTAAAGTAAAGCAAAATATCTTCCAGCTCTGAAAGATCAGATAAAAGTAAGAATGAAATTTTGTAGCTTTCAGACTATATTGTTTGTTAATGACGTAGAGATGGTTGACCGTTGATATAATATGAGAAGGAGTTAGTCGGGGGTGCGGTCAGATAAATACTAAATTAAAATATAGTAATTATTTTATTTTAATTTTGCCGACGTTTCGACCCACTTTGCAGGTCGTCTTCAGGGCTACAAAAGATGCAAAACATGTTGAGAATAAAAGTTAAATATAAGTAGATATAAAATAAGAAAAAGTTGTCAGATACAGAAATAAAAGATGATATCAGAGATATAGTGGGTGACAATGTAGTAAATTATTAAGTATTATATATGTAGAAGATACAAACAAATTGAAAATAAATATGAATAAAATAAAAATAAAAGAGAATATAGCATATAAGTTAAAATACATGCTATATTCTCCTTTATTTTTTATTCATACTTATTTTCCATTTATTTGTATCTTCTACATATATAATACTTAATAATTTACTACATTGTCACCCACTATATCTCTGATATCATCTTTTATTTCTGTATCTGACAACTTTTCTTATTTTATATCTACTTATATTTAACTTTTATTCTCAACATGTTTTGTATCTTTTGTAGCCCTGAAGACGACCTGCAAAGTGGGTCAAAACGTCGGCAAAATTAAAATAAAATAATTACTATATTTTAATTTAGTATTTATCTGACCGCACCCCCGACTAACTCCTTCTCATATATTGTTTGTTGATTATATATTTCCTATACGTAGATCCGACCATTCAAAGCTATGTAAAAATCTATTTTTTTTAAATTGAGGGTTACATTATATTACTTAAAAGCCCCAATTTTTTTAAAAATAAAAGGTACTTTAAAAACTGCACTATTGTGGTTCTAAAAATTACCAATAGATAATAAATGCATTACACTATAAGATTTATACAAGACTTTACTTTTTAAAAAAAAAAAGTAGTTGGTACGTTTCAAATGTACATTATTTTGTATTAAATATATATATATATATATTTTTTTAAATACCTTGAAAGATCTGCGCATATCATTAATGGAAATATAGCCTTTGTTTTCTTGATCAATGAGCCTGAACCTTTCAATATACATTTTGACTTCATCTTTTGTGAGATCAATTGGGATCTTGTCTTTACTAGCTCGGTTCACCTGCTCGCCCATTTCATTCATTAAAAATTCAATGGCTAGGTCAGTTTGCCTCTATGGAAAAGAAAAAAATATTTAACGATCAATATAACAAAATTTAATAACAGCATTTACTCTCCCAACAATTTTCTTTTATTTTTATGACGTTTTGGGATCACTTTCTTATCCCATCTTTAGACCGTATCTCATCCTTCTATCATCTTATTATTTTAAAAAGATTTGTCGTAATTTTTACTTTTATATTTTCGAAATTCGTCCCTTAATTATATTGTGGACTCCTCTAGGGAGAGCCTAGTCAGACACGCCCTAGAGGAGTCCACAATATAATTAAGGGATGAATTATGAAAATATAAAATAAGTATGACAAATATTTAAAAAAAAATAACTTCCACCTTATAAAAATAAAGAAAAATTATTGGGAGAGTAAATAAATGCTGTTATAAAATTGTATTTATATACCTCAGATAAAAAGCATCTTCCTTAGGACTTATGAATAAAAAAAAATAATCAAATTATCAAATTGATAATTGTAATGAAATGTTTATAGATATTAAATATTATAAATGATTATACTATATATATTATAAATGACCACACTTGTTTCTCTTTCTCATCCCAGTGAAGTTCTTCAGCCATCGTGTTAACAATGAGAGGTAAAGCTTCCCTCGCGGCCTGGACGTTGAGGAAAGAGAGCCTGAGTCTTCGGGCAATCATGTCAATCGCAGTCATAGCGTACTCCCTCACGCCATATCGAATCTAACAAAAAGAATATAACGTTCAAGAAATACATTCTATAGCGGCTTCAAGCTTCTAATATTTGCGATGACAAGGTAAGTATAGTTAAATCTAACTTAAATCTAATGTTTATATTGAATTATTTTTTTTTAGACATTGAAAGATAAAAACAGCAATAACTTTTTTTTTAAATTTATTTATTCTTTAAGAAATAGTTTAAAATTATGACAGATAAGAAAAATCAGCCCTATAAAAATGTTAAAATTCTTATGTCCTTACAATAAAATAAATAACATAAATATAGTAGTACTGAGTCATAGCATTTGATAAATTATGCCTACTAACAAAAAGGGAATTTCAAAAATTCTATTATTGTCTAAAACTTTCTGAGGATAGCTGCGAAAGTTTTTGCATTCAAATCAAATTAAATCAATTCGAAAACAAGAAAATTCCAATTTTTAATAGAAAGGGATAAGATTATTACTCAAAAGTAATCTACTATGATCCATACGAAAACAACCTTATATAATAAAATAAAATAATGTCATTTACTATACAATAATCTTTTATTATAGTACGTTTTAAATTGTGAGAACATTTAATAAAATTTTATTTAAAACTTTTATAATAGCTATTTTGGCTTTTCAATCATGCTAAAGACTGATTATTTTGGGAGGAGATTCAAGCCCTTATCTTTCAATTTTTAATTTTATTATTTATACATTATAAACATTTTTTTGCGATTTGAGTTCCTAATATTTTATTTTAGAATAGATTATTAAATCTACTGAAAGCAGAATAAGGATATTCAATTTTCAATCTTATAGTACTTCCTAGTTATGTAGGGGAAAATAGGTTAAAATGAATTCACTACTTCACATGATTCATTGATTCGTAAATGTTCATTTGTTCAAAACCGCTAATCTCCGAAACTTCTTCACCGATCACTTTGAAATATTGACATAATGTTTCTATCACATTCAGAAGTGTTTTTATACATATTTAATCACCCTTCGGTCTTTCGTTTCGGAATGGTGGCCCAAAAATCTATGTCGCTATAGACTGTAGCGCCTAAACGGCTGTAACAATTATAATTCAACAATTTCTAAAGTCTTCTCCTTAAAGCCCTTTTAATTTATGTATAAAACATCCTTCCTCGAAAAGAGTATGAAAAAAAGAGTTACGATGGGTTCAAAACTATATTTGCGATTATTATACCCATCATTATTTGAAAGCTTTCATGATTTCCTACAAAATGATAAAAAAAACCATCGGAATAGAAAAGAATTATTTCCAAAATGAAACAATTTGTAATGGCCAAAGGAGCAAAGTGGGTTCAAATATTTTTTCTATGAGGAACGGAGTTGAGATTCTTATTTCGCATCTCGACAAACCCCCAAATACGATAAATAAAAAAAAGTTAAGATGGATTCAAATCTATATTTGCGTGTAACTCAGGAAGTACGCAATTTTTGTTGGATTATACACATTATTATTTGTAAGATTTTTGATTCCCTGCAGATCAAAAAAAAAAAAAATCACTATAATCACTGGACAATTTGGTGCAAAGATATAATGCTTTAAACATTTAGTAATGTTTCGTAGGAGATTTGGAGACCGATTGCTTCTTATATAGACAATTATACGTTGCAAATTCTAGAGTTTGTATAGATACAGACCAGAAAATCTCTGTATCTATACAAAGAATGGAACAACAAAGAATATCACATATTCACAAGTATTGTTGCATAAAATATATTAGAAACATCTAATTTCTTTTCTATTTCTCTTTTATTTAACCAGAATGATGAGCCACAGCAACGCGTGGCCAGGTCGGCTAGTGTAAAATAAAAATTTAGTACAAATGACAATTTACCTCGGCATCGATATAAGGGAACTCTGGGTGTATCTTCCTTCCGATAATGGGCCACCTCTGGCCAGTAAGTGAAGCAAGCTTCGCCACAGCGAAAGCTCTATCACCGTAGTAGTAAGCTAAATGCTGAGCAACTTCGCATTCTAATCCGAAATCCTGAACGAGCCTTATGTACATGGTAGGAGTCCAGCCGTGAGCTCCTTCTATCAGGAGCTTATCGGTAATGCAAGGCCCAGCTTTGGTGGCAAGCTCTGGAACAGCTGGAAACATAAAAATTATAATGATCACTTTGTATAGTTAAGGCTATATTAACTCCTACTTTATTTTAATTCACTGTGATTAATACAGAACAATTTTTAGTAATGAAAATTTAAAAAATATGAGTAATTTTAATATGGAAAATCTTTCCTCACACCCATTAATCATGTAACTTGACTAACTATATATTTATATATCTACATATCAGGCAATTTGTATTGACCGGTTAAAGTGAAAGGATTAATTATTGCTCCTAAATCTATATATTATTACATTAGATATCTTCTCTCTTATATATTCAAAGTATAAGCGATATTAAGGAAGCATTTTTATTCGTTTAAACAATTTTATTATCAGCAAAATCTAATTAATACACTCAATTGGTAAAGTTCTATACTTTATTATATGCACGTTGAAATTGCAGTTTACTTATTAAACAAACCCTACGACTGCTTAGCATAGGCGTAGACTTATCATTCTCTTTGGCGAAGGAGACGATACATCCTCCCCAAAATAAAATGTCTCGGGAGTTTATATTATAAATAAAAATTATGAGTGATACTTAACGTCATAAACATAATTATTTTACAACGAACAATATAGCACTATATATTAAAAAATAAGTATATATATATATATATATATATAGGGTGTTTCGGTGTTTCAGGGTTAAGTGGCCGAACTGAAATATAAATTAAGGACATCAAAATAAGAAAAAAAAATTGCAAATTATTTCACCATGATTTATTATTTCCAAACAATTATACATCTAAAGTAACATTACCTTCCTAGTGACAAAGAAAGAGAAATAAAAAGTTAATTCCAATTATTTGCTTTAAAATGTTTTTTTCATCATTCCTAATTTGCTAAAAAAAAAAAAAAAAAAAAAAAGCATGACTTCAGTAACACATTCAAAAACCAAAACAAAGGATATAACCTTTGCAGTATAACATACAAAAAATTTCTAGAGACCATATCTTTCCTCCTAATTGTCCGATTTTTTTAGGAAAGATTTCATAAACTTTTAAAAAAACATCTTTTCATTGAAGTATGTTATATAAATACATTTAAAGGGCATCAAGAAGAAGACTTTACCCAAGTTTCATTGAAATCGGTACATTCGTTTAGGCACTACAGTCAATAGCAATGCAGATTTTTTGGCCGCCATTTTGAAAATAAAAGGTAGATAGTAATGTCGATTAAGGAGGATCATCCTCGGGTAACCTCTGATGGTAAATCCAAATTTGAAAAAAATTGGTCCATTAATTTTGGAGAAAATGTGCAAAGTGGACTGACAAAATAAATTGTATTCGTTTTTCGAATTCTATGTATCCTGAAACGTAAAACCTCAAATTTTGAGAGGATGTCAAGTTTTTGAATTAATTGTTTGATTACAATGGTCCATAAATGAAAATAATAAACCAAAAATTCCTATGAAGATATGTCCAGAAACGCTTTGTTTAGAAGATATTCACACCTAAAGATTTTCATTGTTATGAATTAGTTACGTTGCATTAAGTAAATAAAACTTATTTATTTGTTCCAACTACTTTATTAATCAAACGTAAACATTAAATTCATATTCAAAGTGATTTCCTTGAGCATCTTTCTTCAACAGCAGCAGTGGCAAAATGGCACTGGATATGTGTTATTGTTTCACAAGATTCAATTATCCTTCTTCGTAAGGAATTAAGGTCACTGACCAGATGTTTTGTTTAATACAAAAATATCATTAGTACGTGGTATTATATCAAATGTACCAGTTTCTCTAAGATGTTGAATCGTTGAGCTAAAGATAGACTTGTTGGCAATCTTCTATTCGGAAATTTCCTGGCATATTCACGATGGGCAGCATTAGCATTATCGTTGCAAAAACCATATACAAACACTGTATCGGTATATTCACCATTAGTATAAATGGAAGGCATAATGATGAGTACTCTGCGAAAGCCTCTTACAAACTGATAAATGTTATTGAGAGTTCCCACTACTAATTCCAAATTGTATTAATCCTTATGTTGCTAATAGTTTTTATATAGTTAGAGATAAAAGGCCATATTAGTATTCTATCTAATTCATCTCCTAAACAAAACATTTCCGGACATACCTTCACTTTGAACAACATTTAATATGAATGTTAATGTTTACATTTAATTAATAAAATCGTTAGAACAAATAAATAGGTTTTATTTATTTCACATAACGTAAATAATTCATAACAACGAAAATCTTTAGGTGTAAATATCTCCCAAACAAAGAATTTGCAGACATACCTTCAGAGGAAATTTTTTTCTTGTTTTGAGGTCCTTAGTTCATTTTTGCAGTTTAGCCACTTAACCCTGAAACACCCTGTATATATATTACAATAATATATTAGTTTTTTATTTGCCTTCGGTATGGGTATAATTGAAAATTTGTTAAGAAAGCAATTGAATATATTATATATTTTTGTTTGAAGGCTTGAGGCAGTGAGATGAACTCTCACTTCTCCGATACTTCAAATTTGCCGCAGGAAATGTGATAAAATCTTGACATAAAAATGAAAGGGTGCAGATGGATGAATCATAAAATGCTAGGAAATTTTGCTACATAAATTATCTTTGAATATAAATTAAAATTCCAATGACAGAAACATAAGACGTGATAAAATACTTGCGTACCAACTTCTAGATCTAAGCTCAACCATCTAATCAACTTTTCCTATTTCTTAAATTGATTTTAGTTTACATATTTTATGCATTTATGTATATTAATTTTTTTTTTTGTAACTTTTGTTCTACAAAATATAGGGAGGGCAAAATGATATTCTTGTCATCCCGAAGTCTGCGCCTATGCTGCGTAGCCTACTGGAAAATAGTTCTTCAGTTAGGCATCAAATATTCAGCTAATTGTAAACTTATATTAACCTTATAGTATACTTGTTGAGACGTATTAGGTTAGTGAAGATGGAGATACGGTTTGTAGTTCACTCATTCATTTAGAAGCCAGACCTGAATAAGAACTTCATTACCACTATGGTGATATTAAACACAGAAAATTAAAACATGTTTATTTTTATAAAAAATATAAAGAGTTTTTCTACAAATGTACCATCAGAGCTATTCTCATAGATTTTTATTTCGACGAAGACTATCACAAGTAGTAATATTTTAATTTTTAAAATCTAAACATGTGATGAGAATCCCAGAACAACCATAACACCTAAAAGAAGCTTTCATGCAATAATTACAGTGTATTTTAAAACCGGTACATTTTAAGGCTTTAGTTAAACACAGGTGTAGTTATCATCCTTTGCAATGCCCGGTTTAGTCCTTTCAAATTATAACGGATCTTAATCTCCTTCTCAAACTTTAAAACAAAATTTATCCCATCTCGTTTTGTCGAATTTTGAAATTATAGTCGTAAAGTTTTGAAATTGTAATTTGTCAATTATCCATGAAATTCCCTTTTCGTTTGATACCTCATTCATCAAGATCCATCTGTTACAGTTGTAAATTAATTAATAGTTATTTGTTAATTAATTATTACTCTGGCAGCACATCTATATATACAAGTTAGGGTGGGGAAATACGCACTAGGTCAATGTGTATCATACATGACAAGCGAGCAGTCCGAGAGGGGAACACAAGAAGTATCCTCGAACTTAATCAGTTTTTACTGGAGCCAGCGAAAGTCTTCACAACCTTCAAAAGTCTTCAGGAAGGTAGCTGGGAGGTGTAGGAAAAGAGATCAGGGAGTCTGTCGCAGCTTGGGGACGATATTTAAGGAAAAACCTAATGAGAAAAGTGACTGTTCCCAGTGTTTGTTTGTAAATAACCCATTTACCCAGGTGATATCATTCCCATTAGTTATTATAATAGATTTTTATTCTATTATTATTCTTCAATGCCATTCTTTATTTTTTATTCTTTGGAGATTTTTATCTAGTATATATATTTTTTTAAATTATAAATCTAGGAAAGATTTCTTTTATTAAATTGTAATTCCATCAGCTGATGACTTCCTTTTATTAAAGCCATAAATTTTTCTTATTAAATTAAATATATATGTTATTGATATTAAAAATATCAAGAGGGTCAGAACTACTCATATAACCATTTGCTTTCAGCTTAAATCGTAAGATAACTTGAGCACAAAGTTGGGAAAAAAGGTTCAATTAAAAAATATTGAGCCGTTTGGCGTGACCTACACCCCAAATCGTCAGACTAACAAGTTTATATAGGTCAAATGTCCCAATATTTTTATCGATTTTGTGATCAAATTATTTTACGATTAAAGCGGAAAGCAAATGGGTATTTACAAGTTTTTTGTACCTAATTAAATAGACATAGTTTGCCGACCTCCAGATTGAAAAAGCAGAATTTTCATAAATAAAATATTTGTAGATTACGATGAGATGAGCCAGATGTTAATAATCTGATAAAAAGGGGTCTGTACCATGGACTAATACCTTTATCCTTTTCAACTGAGTGTGAAGAGTGTTGCCAGAGTACCATTACATTATTTTCTTTGTTTTATTTTTATTTTACGTTTTCGTTGATTTCTTGAAAAAAAAAAAAAAAAAAGCATAAAAGCCCATTACCATTAATAACAATAAGGTTCATATATTTTATTTAATCACTATTATTCTTATTTTGTTTAATCCACTGAGAGTGGGTACTCTATGTAACTTAGCTTACAAATTGCGCCTGAGAGTGGGACAAAGTATGTTTACTACACTATTACAGAAACTGTAGATTCTGAAAAAAAATTGTTCTAAACATATTAAATTAAAAAGTAAAAATAAATATTATACTATAAAGACATTACCTTTTAAAGCAGCATCCACGGTGTCAGTAGCCATCGACCTGTACGTAGTCCATTTTCCTCCAGCTATGGTAATCATTCGTGAATCACTGACTTCAACGACATGATTTCTGGCAATCGATTGAGTGTCGGATTTATTAGGATCTGATATAAGAGGTCGGATACCAGACCAAGCTGATAGAACATCACCACGCCTCACTAAAAGCAAGAAATTAATATAATGATACAAAATCATTTAGATATAAGGATATAAGTGAGTAGCAAAACCCCGTCACTATGGTCATATTTTCTTCTGATTTTTTGTTTAGATCTTGAATAGAATTTCAAAATTTATTGAATTTTTTTCCAGATTTCATTTATTACTCACTACAAAGAAGGTTATTTAATGTTTAGGTTTGCCACTTGAACGTATATAACAATTTTTCGAGGTTGGATCAATTGTGATGGGTAACTTATTCAGTGAGGTCCTCTTGAAAGATTTAAAACTACTTGAGCTCAAAACATGGAGAAATTATTGTATAAAATGTGTATAACATGTTAATTTAAAGGTATGTAATGATTTTTTGATAGATTTTCAAGTTTGATGGTTCATGTTACTCAATAAAATCCTGTAAATATTTTGAGCTCAAAATGCTAACAAATATATTTTAATTGTGGGTAAATGGTTGACTGTTGTGAGTAATGAAGAGAAGAATAGTTAGGGTGATCAGTCAAATAAGAAGGCAAAAATAAATGATAATATTTTGATATTTGCCGACGTTTCGACCTGAAGTTCAGGCCATCATCAGGGCTGACTGGAATGAAGTATCATTGCTTCGATTTACTTCATTGCAGTCAGCCCTGATGATGGTCTGAACTTCAGGTCGAAACGTCGGCAAATATCAAAATAAATATTATCATTTATTTTTGCCTTCTTATTTGACTGATAACCCCAACTATTCTTCTCTTCATTCTTCATTCTTTAAACATATTATAAGTTTTCTCAATTTTTTTAGTAAGTTTATATATATATATATAAGGTGGCGACCAAGTGGTGTTAATAATTGAAATAGTAAAAATGTTAGAATAAAAAAATGATTTAATTAAAAAAAGATTAACAATAGTCCATAAAGTCATTAAATTTTGTGCTTTTTGTTGTTAATCACAATTACGTAACACATAAATTATAATACGAACTTATGAACTTGAATTATAATATGAACTGAAAAAGTTTATGACCACGAACGCCCATTTTCCAGCTATATCTTAATTGTTTTTATTATGTTATTATTTTCTATATTTTCTTATGATAGACATAAAGCATTCACCTTCAACATCTTTATTAAGATAGTTCTTTATTTCTTGTAAAATGAATAATATTTCTTCTTCCGTAGGTTTAGGATGGTGGGTGACCTCGCAAGGCATGTCGGTTGTACCTGCAATGGTATGCTTCTGCCAAGGAAGGAAGAAAATCACTCTTCCGTCTGACGTCGCAGGATCAAGAAGACCCATCTTTTCTGGACTATTAAGTATAAATGAGAATAATTTCATAGGAATGAAAAGACTGTTTTAGATTTAAAATGAAAAATCTTTTTAAATAGTACCTGTAGTATCCTGGTAAAACGATGTGTGTACCAGCACTTGCAGCACAAATAGTAGGAATCTTTGGATTGTCCATTTTCCTAACTGAATCAGTATGTGGTCCTGTAGCATTTATAATACATTTAGCTAAGCAGTTCCACTCTTCACCTGAAAATCGCATCGATATACATGTATTAACAAAATGGTGTAGAGTGGTCAAATAATAATATAATACAATAATAAGTATAGTTAACAATAAACTACAAAATACACTAAGTATCATGTTAACTCACTTTCAGTTAACTTTCAAAACAAAAATTGATGTTATTAATGAGTATATGTGAAGAACTGATTACATCAAAGTTTATGTAAAGAATTCGTAATGTTAAAGTGTACCTAAAGAACTGGTTTCATCAAAATGTATGTAAAGAACTGGTAATGTTAAAGTGCATTTGAAGAACTGGTTACATCAAAGTGTATGTAAAGAACTGATAAAGTTAAAGTGTATGTGAAAAAAAGATTACGTTATGATTTCTTATTATTTCTAGTTCTATTTTGCATTACTCTGAGGCTCTAAAGCCCAAAATTCTGTTCATGTACTTTGTTCAAAAGAGGCTTGTCCCGGAATATTAAAAGGAATAATATAAAGAGTGTATTATTAATATAATCATTATTATAAAAATAGGTTTACACTCAAGAGGTCTTTAACTGAGGTCAAATAGGTTAGATTTTTAAAAATATATTGAGCCGGTTATGAAATCAATTACCTCTGAGCTAAAGTATAACAAATAGAGTACTATTGTAAATTTTTCACCTGTGAATTCATCTCTAAGCCTTGCGCCGCAGCAACAGCCATTTGAATCCTTAAGTATTTCTACTGCTTTGATATGATTCGCAACTGTTGCACCGTGCCTTGTCGCAGTTAACGCAATAGCGAGGCACATTCGAGCATCATCCTGTTGACCTAAAACAAACCATTAATAAACATATTATAAAATCATTTAAAAAAAAAAATCAAAAATCATCTTCAACATACTGTTGAGGCCAAATCCAAGATAAAACTTTATTAATTAAAAATAAAAATGATTTTTTTTTTTATATTAATACCAGATAGATTTTAAAGTAAGTAGTTCTCGTATGTGTGCTGCAATGAATTCAAATGTAAAGTTAAACTTCATTCATAGTATTATAATTTGGAAATTTGATTGTTATCAGTGTATCGGAATTATAATCGTTACAGGGAAACTACCAACTGGAAGAAGGACCAAGAAAAAAGAATAACATAGGCAGGAAACGGTTATAAACAGGAGCATTACAACGAAGTTTTACAATATGTAGTGTTCTCAAAAAGCTGAATTAACTAATGGATTTTCAAATTTCTTACTAGGCATCGAGAATTTTGGGAGCAGAGTGGCCGAGCAGGTTAACGCTTGTGCACGGCAGGCACTGTGTTACTTGGTAACCTGATTATAAATAATTATGAGTTTGCCTCCTGGTACTGAGGGGATTTTCAATTCTGGTATTAATCCCCCGCTAAAGAAAAATAGAGTGCCAAATAAATTAATTAATTTAATACGCATGACCATGGAAAACACATCATCCAAAGTTGCTATTGAAAATAAAGTTGGTCGGTTATTCAAAGTACAATCTGGAGTGTGTCAAGAAGATGCCTTATCGGCAATGATATTCCACATATCGTTTTCCATATAGCTCTGCATGCTGCTGTGAAAGAAGCAGCTAAAAAATGCACTATAGTTGATAAGACCTGGCAAATTTGTCCCTACGCCGATGACCTGGAGATTGCAGCCCGAAGTGAAAAGGCATTCAAAGAGATATTTGAGATAATAAACGAAAATGGGAACAAAGTAGGGCTTGCGGTCAATGAAAAACAAAACTAAATACCTGAAACTGTCCTCGACAGCAAGTAGAAGATCCTGTGGCAAAATAAAAATGAGAAATTTTAGTTTTGAAAATGTATCTCACATTTGTGCATCTCGGTTCTGCCCTAAATAATGAAAATTTAACCAGTAGAGAAACCAACAATAGAATAATGGCTGGTAATACAGCCTACTATGCAAACCTTAAACTTCTCAAGTCTCCATTGTTGTCAAAAGCTACAAAATTAAAGCTTTATAAAACGCTTATTAGAACAGTAGTCACCTATGCAGCGGAAACCTGGTGTTTGTCGCAAGAGGATTGTCATAAATTAAAAGTATTTGAAAAGAAAATAATAAGAAAGATTTACAGTGCTACAAATGTTAATGATGAGAGAAAAATCAAAAGTAACAATGAAATAGAAGATATATTAGAGAACCAAAACATTACTAACTATATCAAGGTAAGAACGCTGAGTTGGGCAGGACATGTAGTCAGAATGGAGAATGATCGTGTAAAGAAGAAAATATTGGAAGTTAACTTCAGTGGGAAGAAGAAGACCAAGAAGCAGATGGAAGGATGAAGCGGAGAGAGGAGCAAGGAAGTTAGGAGTTCACAACAAAGATAGAAGTGGAGAAGAATAACTCAGGAGGCAAAGGGTCATGCTGGCCTGTAGTGCCGGGGAGTTGGTTAGTTATTAAAACACCCACCCTCGCCCTCTGTCCCGGGAAAGCCCCCTATAGCCTAAAAGAGGAAGGAAGTGGAGGACAAAAAAAAAAAAAAAAAAATTCACAGTTTTGGCATTGATGTAGATCCTCAATATCCATCCTGTGGTGTTCCGGTAACTGTAGAGCATTCACAACTTGCACCACACGAGAGGTCTTATGGGCCACATTAATGAGAGTTGTGGGATTATATATTCTCACTGAATTCCAGATACTGAAAAGCTGAAACTTTTTCATAAAAATAACACTTTGATTATAAAAGTGGGGGAAAAATGTGGATGGTGTCAAGAACCTATCACCCAAAACATAGAACACCTGTTATTGCAATGCCACAGCCTAAGTATTGATAGGGAAAAATGCCTGGGAGATTATATTGTACAAAACAATAAACAATTATCTTTAGAAAATCTTCTAAATATTGATAGTGCGGACAAACTAAATAACATCTATTTCTTTTTGTTAAAAACTATATATAGGTATTTTACTTAGGTACTTTATTTCCATCTATATTTACTGAATCCGTTTCAATCATTGTTTGTAATATTCAATATTCAATAATTTGTATAATGAAGAGAAGAATAGTTGGGGTGATCAGTCAAATAAGAAGGCAAAAATAAATGATAATATTTATTTTGACATTTGCCGACGTTTCGACCTGCAATTCAGGCCATCATCAGGGCTAAGAAAAGAACCAGATAACAAGGTATGAGAAACATAAAAATTAAACTAAAATGCAGTTGTTAGAATAATGACAATAGTAAGAACTAAGAGATAAATGATAATAACCGGTACAAAGTGTGGAATGATGAAGTAAACACAATGAAAAAAGGTGACATAAGTATTGAAATGGGAATCTTAGAATAAAATGTAAATGTAGATGAATGTAGATTTCAAAATAAATATTATCATTTATTTTTGCCTTCTTATTTGACTGATCGCCCCAACTATTCTTCTCTTGATTATTCACGACAGTCAACCATTTACTCACAATAATTTGTATAATTAATGACATCTCTATTACATTTATTTCAGAATGAAAACATTAAATGGACTTTTTTTTTTTCATTTTAAGAACAACAACAAACAAAAATACTTAGCAAAGAAAAAAATTGTTAATAGTACATAAATAAATAAAGTAAAAATCAAAAAATCAAATACCATCATAATAAACAATGGCACCGCAGAGTCTTTCTTTACGTAACATGGGAAAATTTTCCAAAGCTGATGTTTTGCCTATATAAAATGAATGTTTAACAGTTTTGAAACCAGCAACGAGGTCGTACATTTTCATTCCGATCCAAAAATAAGGCACTTGCCACCACCTGAAAAATATTATGTTTTAATTACATTTTCCTATTGATTAATTATATATTTCACCAATATCTGTTGGAAGCGACAAGCCATTTGGACATAATCAATACTCTTACCTCTACACAATTATTTTTTATTTTCTAAATCAATTCATATGCTAAAAAAGGTCAAATGATCACTTTTTATGTAATATTAAATAAAACTTTAATATTTTTTATTTTGTAGCCAATAGTAAATTTATAATCAACTACAAAAAAAAAAAAAAAGATGACATTTATTAGAAAAGATATCATTTGACCACTACCAACAAGCAGAAATATGTATGTACAAAATAATTGTATCTTTAATGTTAAATAATCTACATTTTAAATTAAGATTAATTTAACTAATATACACACATAAACAAAATACTAACAACACCATTAAAAATTCTATCAAAAATTACTGACGTACCATTGTATATTTCAAATAATACTGTACACAACAGCTTAAACATTTCTACTTCAAAGTAAAATCGTACGTCCTACGACATATACACATTTCATTGATGATTAATTTTCAACTAAAAATCACCTCAATCCAATCGTTCTTTCAATTCCCTCCTCACTGTTACCTGCTCGACGCAGATTAAAAAGAAATTGGCCTAGGGACCTGCTCCTTCAACAATAACTAAATTCAGTACATCAAATTTGCTAAATTCACAGGTGCTAATGGAGTAGAAGATTAAAATAAACATTAATTTCTTTAAATAGTCAATTTAAATACCAATTGAACTCATCAAAATTTCATTAAAAAATAAAAATAAAAAAGTATATTACTCACAAGAAAAAAGTATCTTACAAAATAAGAAATAAAAACTACATGAAATCTAGATATGCACAGAACAAAAAAAAAAAAAAACATGTCAAATTATCATTATTTCTTAATCCATATATATTTTTCTTTTAACCATTCTTGTTTTCTGGAGTAAAAATATTTGACACTTACTAGCAAAGAAGAATCATTTAATTTTTATTTTATCAATCCATTTTTTTTTTAAATTATTGTATAGCTTAAATATACATTTAATAAAAGATTCATTAATTATTTACACCAAAAAATACAAAGCTAAAAATAAGCAGACCGATTTCCCAAGAATTTATTCTATAAATTGTAAACTTTTGAAAGATTTTTTTTTTGCGAAATTTTCATTATATTCAGATATTGTCACACAACTATGTATACTCCATATAAGAGTTACAAAATATATAGTATGGTATCTACAGTAAAACTTACTTAAAAACTAATAGGATTACAAATTGTAAGGCGATCAATAATAAATTTTATTTAGCTTGTAATAAAAACTAAATTTAATATTGTTTTTAATCACTTTGATGGAATACTTAATGATTCATAAATCTTGATATCTTATAATACCAACCATCTATCATCTCCCATAATTTAAAACTAATAATAGTAAAAGTTAAGATTATTTTGTTGCCATATTATACTTTATTAAATATCAATACAATTCCACACATTAAATATCTTTTCTTTTTCCCCTAAAATATTCAAAGTATAAACAATATTAGAGAAACATATTATATAACATAATGCTATCAAGAAAGTCAAAGCCACAAGCTAGCTATACTAAAGCTAGCTTCGAAATGGTAATACTCCATAAGATCTTAAGAAAATTAATTATATTTAATAAAAAAATTGTGTTAGAATACAATTACTTTGAAATTAGGAAGAATAACAGTAATTGTTAAATAAAAAGAAAAAAATCGAGAGAAAAATAGTAATTTTTTTATGACTTACTGCATTAAAATAAATATAAAAAGCAGTAAAATAAATATATATAAGAATTTTTTTTTCAATATCAACTTATTTTTAGCCATTTGTAGTTGTTAGGTTTAGAAAAATAAGTTTTCTATAAAACCTGTGATAAATTTTTTGTTCTTTATATTTAAAATAAACATGTTTGAGCTATGTCACATGGAAAAACAGATAATTAGCTAAACAAAAGAAAAACATACATGTTGTTTGCTTATTTTCAAAACTTCAGCCATTTTGGAAGATCAATGGTTCGCCTCCCGTTGGACTTAAAAAAAAATGTTCTCTACATAACTGTTAGATGATTCTAAGCTCTTTATTATTGGATACAACTATTTCTTAGCTTAATCAATTTAGAAAGAAAAAATTTAGGGAAATAAAAAAATTAAAAATTTTAGTTTTTTTTGGAGCACTGCGGTGAACCCACATGTCTTTCAATATCCAAAAAACTTGGATTTTATATACTCACCATGCACATAACAACATAAAAAAGAAATTTTAACTACCCGACGTTTCCTTTTGCCATACCGCTAATTTGTGCTAATTTGAAGAGGCTAAAACTTTACAAGTAATAAAAAAAATCATATATATTTTCCACAATACAATGAAACATATTAGAAATATAATAAAATTAAAAATTAAAAGAAACAGCATTATTGTAAAAATAATATATTTTTAAATTTATTCATATAATCCTTAACAACAGGGCTATGTTTTATGGCTTATTAAAAAGTTTATTAATAATGTTCTTTTATCATTTATATATCTTTCCTCAGGCTTTAATTGTGCTGGTGTTCTGTCATTATTTTTTTGTTACGATTATATCTTCTTTTTCTTCATATAATTTTTATTATAAATTTGCCCTATAATTATTAATATTTAGTGCTAATAATGATTTAAAAAGTTTGCAGTATACTCTTCATAATTAGCTCTATGGATAATTTAAGTTTATAAAAATACTGTTATTTATAATCAGGCATTAGAAAAATAACTCATAACAGACTGAGAGTTAATACTATGAATATAAAAGTGTATCCGCAATCATCAAAGTAAAATATAAACTAGACTAATAATGAGCATATTATATTGTTCAGTCAATATTTCATATTATACTATACTGTGCATTATAATATGGAAATACGTAAATGTCATGTATTATAAGGTTGATTAATTTTCATTCAAATTAATAGACTAAAACATGTTTACAAATTACAACTGGCTGTATCTTTCCTAAAAATTTGTATTTTTTTTTTTAAATTTTATTATAGATAATTTGAAAACCTTTTAAACTATTGTAGGTATTTTTCCCCCCTAGCCTATCGTTACAAGTATTTTACAACCTGTAGGCCTCCCCTAATTAAGAGGGTAATGGTCTAACTTCCCACGGGGCCAGCCGTATTGGGAAGTGGGGCCGGAATTCGATCTTATGATCTTTACATATCATATCATAGGTATAATCAACCATAAATTGTTTACTTTTGGATATATCTGCAAATGAAGTTTCCTATTCTTGATAAGATTTTTTTCTGACTTTTCTAGAGAATGTACTTCTTTTTCACACCTGAAGAAGATAATCTTCAAAATGATGGTTCCATCATTGGATTTGATGAAGATTAAACAAGATATGGCATACTGTTATAAAAAAACACTTTAGATAAATAATATATATAAAGAGAGTGCCATGTCGAAATGGTTACCGTAACAACCAGTTCACTTTTTATTAATTTTTAAAATAATCAAAAATTATACATCTGTAATATTGCACAGTTTTTAATTTAAGAAAGCTTAAATTGCCTTACAGAATTCTTCTAAAAAACATAAACCAAAAATAAGATTTGTTTGAATACCTCATTCATCGAAATTCATTGCCCCCGAGAGCCAGAAAAGAAATATGTACTACCATAACATAGATAGTATAGATTGAAAGGTTGAAATAAATAAAAAATGTTTTGACAAGAGAAATGGATCTTTAAAATAGAGGGGAAAAAACATAATTAACAAGTCAACAACAATTTAACAACAAATATAGAAAGTTACTAGCCATAATAATAAAAGGCTTAGCGAACACGAAGGATCGATGCCAACATCACCGATCAATGTCTATACTTCCCTTCACCAGTCACCATCCAAACCCCACCCCATCAGATTAGCTTTAATACAATCCTGCAAACTTTTCTTTGATCTATCCCTCAGAACTTAATCAGTCGGCACAGTGCATATTAATCTTTTAGGGATTCTTTCCCTAAGTCCAACAATTTTACAGGACTATTTTAATCGACACAATGCCATCACCTCAATAATATTAACTGGATACAGTTCACACAATTCAGTTAATATAATTGAGGTGATGACATTGTGGCGATTAAAATGGGCGTGTAAAATTGTTGGACTGATAACCATTGGGAGATGGGAGGGGTAGCTGAGCAGACTAACATGTGCGCAGCACCGCGCGTGGCTGGCGACCTGATAACCGAAGCTTGAGAGAGAAAAATAATTATGAGTTCAAACAGGGAGGTGCCTTGTGGGACTTTTAACTCGCCATAATTTCCCCGTTCTCTCCCCGGCCCGGGAAAAACCTTGTGTAGCCTATAAGGCAAGGAACAGGAGACAAAAAAAAAAATAAATAATAACAAATTCATGTAATTCAAGGATTTTATGTATTCTCACTTTTATGTTTTGGAACAGGAGGTGTGAACTAAGTAGTTTTGTCATAGAAAAATAATATTAATTTCTTGCCTTCAATTTAACCTTAATCTCCTCTTCAATTTTGTTTATTCTAATTATTGTAGACACTAGATGCCTAAACTTCTCTATGCGTACAAACATATTCCCTTCAACATAGATATTACCGAAATTGCTGCCATTTTTGCAGCTAACCATATATTTTGTCTTATCCATATTTATTTTGAGCCCTATTTGTTTACCGGCTTTTATTAACATCATCGTATTTATTTTTATAGTTTCCATACTGTGTAATGGTTAGTAGTCTGGACTCTGATTAGCCATTAAATAAAAAAGTTAAGAAAATAAAAATTCAAAATAGGGTCATTTTTCATAAAGATTCAACTGTTTTTATTTACTATGTTAAGTGGACTCATAATATATTTAATCTTTATTACACAAACTGTTATATGATTGTATTTTAATGATTTTTTTTAAATCTAAATTTATTTATTTCATTATTCATTTAGAGATCAAAATATGATTTTAATGCATGTATTATATACTAAACGTGGTAGAGGAGGACAAAACTGATTTAATATATTATCTGATCCTATTTCTACTAAACTTTCACCCACAGGCAGATATACAGGAGAGAGGGAGAGCTTCTGGGCCCCTCAAAATGGTGACATGCATGCACGTCTTACGAAAAAAATTATTTCTAAAATGTATAATTGTTCATTAATTATATTTAATAGGTCTTCAAGAATTATTTAAAAACGATTTAATATAGGTAGTTAGTTTCTTTCCAAGTAATTATCCTTAAATATTTATATATATAAAAAAAAAAAAGATTTCAGGCTGAAGCCTCCCCTCCAAAATTAACTTCTGAATCCGCTAGTGCTATCTGCAGTATCACCTAGGTATACTGTGCACTAAAAGATTAATGCTTTTAGTAGCAAATTATAGCAAACTTCACATACTTTATCAGTTAGTTATTTTAAAATTTTTTATAGGATTATTATGATAAGATAATAATTAAAAAAATGTTTATCAGTTTGAACAGGCAAGGATTATTCTCCCTATGTTCAATTCAAAAAGAAACAAGCTCTTATTGATTTATTTAAAACAGTACATAACATTTAGGCCAAACATTTTTCAAGTCTATTCTTTCTTTAGTTGACTGCCATACTTTAAATCATAAAATAAATATGACAAAAAAGTAAGTATTTTTAATAGAATTTATAATTTCAAGGAAAATTGTTAAATTTCATCCTTAAACCTCTCTCCATGCTTCAATTTATTTTAATTTTCTCGACGGTGTTTCAGGAAATTTTGCCTATTTTCCAAGTCGAAATATTTATATCATTACTATATAATCCATACGATTACATTTTTTATATAATTATTGTAACATTTGTCTCCTCCATTCTTCTAATTATAAAATTAATAACTTATTTACAAAAAGTCAATTCCAAAAAAAAAAAAACTGAAAATAAACATACTGTGGACCATCAAATAATTAAACAATATTTTAAATTTACATCAAATGTTACACATTTTCGTGCTCTTAATACAACAGCCTTATGTCCACTAGTTGTCAAAAATTTTCTAAACAATTTAACCAAAAAGAGTAATGCATGAAAATAGATGTGTGTTCAAAAAAAGTTATCTAATGTTTTAAATAGAAGATAAGGGATTTGAAAGAATTTGTTTCTTCTAGAAAATGAATATATGCATAATTGGATATACCCTGCAAAAATATCGAAATACATATTATTATTGTTGGGTATGTAAAAAAAAAAAAAAAAAGGTTGTGAGTTATCAGTATATAAAATATAATCAAGGTTAAGGTAATATTTTTTTTTTGTTTAATTTTTTTTTTCAGAAAAAAATTCAAGTTTAAAAGCTTTTGTCAATAGAGGTGATTCAATAACAAACAAAAAAAACGGGGAAAACATTTTCAAAAGGAATGCCCACAGCACGTGATATTATCTATAACAGCTCAAGGCTCTCCTTACGTTAACAGACATCTGATTAGATAAACTGGCAAGTGTCTGTTGATCTCATGTCTTCATTGACTGAGATTAACCAATAATGACGTAATCAATAGTACAAGAAATATTTTGATTTTTATTATAAAATTAAACGAAAATTTTGACTTATTTTTTATATAATTGATATTCTGAAATTATTTCTATGTGTTCCCAGGGGTCATATATATATAGCTAGTATGAATCATATTTCAATTTAATTAAAAAAATACTTTTTTACAAAATTTAAAAAAAAATGTGTTTAAAATATTAACAACTACATTAATTTAATTTTAAGGATTAAACCTATATTAGACTGGTCGAATGGCGAGGCAAATCCCAGAGTCCCCCGTTTGGAGCGAATGGGTTTGATTCCCATCAGGGTCAGTTAATATTTATTTTGTGGCAATCCCGAAAACTCCCGCTGTGGTTAGTATTGGATAGCAACCTCTAGGTAGCAATCGTAGGTCAGCCAAAAGACCCAATAACCCATTTCCCTAAACGCTCCAGATAAAACAAAAAATAAAACTAAATAAATGTAGATTACTGAGCTTTTTTCCATTTTCCTCCATAAGAAAAAAAAAAAAAATAATAATTACAGGATACTATTCTCATATTAGTATGCAATAAATGTTTTGGAATGTTAATAATGTTTGTTTTCTGCAGATTAGTCAATAAATATTTAAAAATATTTGGCAAGATGTTATTATTCTCATATTCATGCCCTACTATAAACAAAACGAGTTTTTATCCAATCTTCAGATATTAATTAATAAACATTAAATATAATGTTAAAACAATGGAGAAATAGTTGATAACATGACTGGATTTTTTTTTCGTGTGGGTGTAATTTCATGCAATCTCAGACCAATTTTCCAACCATAATTTAATAAAATTTAAATATAATCTTATTACATTTAGGTATTCTAGTGTTTAATAACTGAAAATAAAATTTTTAAAAAATCAAATTTTTTTCCAGCAAGGCATGAACACAAGAGAATTAAAATTTTAAAATGTGGCCAAAAGATAGTTTTAAATTTATTAACTGAACCTCAAGATCATGAAGAAACATATACAAACTTGTATATATATTTATATATATACACACACACACATATTATATTTATTTAATATTTTTTTAAAATTAATTTTACTCTCCCTTTTAAAAAAAAAAAAAAAAAAAGAAAAAACTACCACTACAACTTATGAAGGGTCTTGGGTTCAGTACTATTTAGGGAAAGTACTGTTTCAATGCCTACGGTTGTGCAGGGAGGGGATCAGGCCAAGATCACGCTCAACCGCCAGGTCTTCCCCCTTAATCAATTATTTAATTGAGGGTACCCACTTTATAGAGGCTGGGTATGCCCCAGGAGGATCTACCTACCCCAGGGTCACCCCACAACCAATGAAACAGAATAAATAATTTTTCTGCCATGAGTCAGGATTCGAACCTGGGACCTTTAGCATTGGAAGCTCCGTACCTTTTGTTTTTTAATAAATACTAACTTTATGTTTACCTGTTATTTTTAGTAGTACCAAACCCTCTTTTTGTAAAAAATAAATAAAGAAGTATTTTTGAGATGGCCAAAATCATTCACAAATCATAACATCGGTTATTTAAATAATGATAGGCACACAATATAATAATATAGTAGTATATGATAATAATATAATAATAATATGTATGAATACTAACTTATAAATAGGAACCATAATTGGCAATGGCTGAGTAAGATGAGGCGCTGATTCTAACATGAAAGCTCGTTCGTGCAAGGCCTCTTTAACCATACGGTATTGCTCTATATCCAAATTCATAATGGCCTTTTGTAAGTAGCGCACTCCACCGTGAATAAGCTTTGTGCTTCTTGAACTGGTTCCGGATGCAAAGTCATCCATTTCAATCAAAGCAGTTTTCAGTCCTAAAATACATTCATAGATATAATTTATTATATTTATTTATTACATGCATATTTTATTTATTTGTTTTAACTGACTTGAAACAGATATGCATGAGAAGAGTCTTTGTATCACCCATTCTATGGTTTGGGTAATAATATTAAAAAATAAAAAAAAAGGCAAATTTAATTACTTCTTTGATACTTTAACACAATTTGTATTAAAAGAAATTGATTCTATCTAACATAAAGATATTAACCCAAAATCAAATGCAAGAAGCAGCTCCTTAATAGCAAGAAGTTTATTAAGTAATAAAATCCCTACATATATTATTATAGTAGGGCTCGAAATCGGTTTTGTACCAAATATAAGCTCCTGTCATACTCAAATACCATGAATGGGGTACCGTTGGATTCAGGATTTCACGGGGGGTTAGCGAATCGTATTCTCCACTTTTGTTTTTCTTTCTAAAATAAATAAAGTCGATACAAACATTTTGCTAGGCTTCAACACTGGAACGGTGGTAGGTCTGTAGATCGATATGGGACAAAGTGGATTTTGAAGATTTTGATGCGTAAAGGAAGACCCGGATAGTTCCCAAGGAACTACCGGATCCTGCGTTTTTAAGCCCAAAAACATACTATTTTCGAGATAACGCAAGGCATAGGGTTCGCATCCACACAACCTGACATTAATTGTAGTACTGTCATTGAATACATGTCTCATTTCGTCGACTTGAGGTCTCTATGATCGAGAGAGGAGGAGTTTATATTATTTATCGATGATTATATAAAAGACTACTAAATTCCCTACAAATGAAAAAATAAAATCATCGAAATCGGACATTTTTAGCAAAGATACAGCTTACTGAAATTTGTAAACATATTGGTTCCAAACAAATGAAGATTTAAATTAATTTTTGTTTTCTTTGTCGATTATATTCATCGATAAAGTATCATTTGATTTCTTTATTTTTTGATACGTTGCATTATTTTATTTTCTTATTAATTTGGCATTTGATAACAATATGCTGTGCAAATTTTTCGCACGGGCCTACTAATTTCACATTATTTATTTATATGTCAAAATAAATATTATCATTTATTTTTGCCTTCTTATTTGACTGATCACCCCAACTATTCTTCTCTTCATTATTCATGAGAGTCAACCATTTACCCACAATTATTTTTTATTTTGTTTATATATTTTTAAATATTTATTTTTGTTAAACTAATTCAACAAAAATGAACTTTTGAGACTTAAGGGACCAATACGCAGCCCATAGTATAGGATCAATATCAAATTCAGTAAATATAATAACCATATGAGTGGTAACTATTGTAAAATTGATTGAAATGAAAAGTTCTTTATTTTTATTGAAATTCTTTCAATATTATTTAAGGAATGTCATTCATTGCATGTGTAAGAAGTATATTGAGTAATATTACATCTTATATTGGATAAATAAGATAAGATATTTAAATATATGTTACGTCATTATAAGTGGATCCAAATTATGAAGAGCCCCGGGCAATATGATATTACAGGGCTCTCATGGTTAAGACGTGAAACTGCTAGGAAAAGCAGTTTGAGATGAAGAGGATGTCTCCACTCCAAATATTTTAAAATTTTGAGGAAAAATAGCAGTATTTTATATCATTTTAAATTTATTCTCAAAATTTATAATTTTGCAACTTAGCACTAATTTTTATGATTATTTGTTTTTAAAGAGATTTCGAAAACAATAATTAAATAATAATTTATTTTTATTGTGTAACTATTTCTTAAATATTAAACACTTAGGAAAAAATAAACAAATTAAAACAAGAAATGTTCATTTTCATAAAACAAAATATATATATAAAAGAGAAGTAATACAAGACAAATAGCAAATGTCTTAGAAGAAAGCAAGACCGTAACTGATATAATATTGACAAAATACTGTTGACACATATGAGGGGCACCTTCAATATATGGCCTTCATTTATATTTACTTAATAATATTGACAATGTAAGGGGTGGTTTAGGGATTGTTCATTACAGAGCCTACTGTTTTCATGAAATTAATTGAGTAACTACTTGATTAAGGATGTAGACAAATTAAATGATGGATAATTAACTATGTATGATTGGTTAAAATATATTTATATCAATAATTCAATAAGCTACATCTCTTTCAAATTCAGCAATTTCACTGTGAATTTAATAATGCTTTTTTGTTATTACAATTTTGTTTATATTTTATCAAATTTTTTTTCAGATGAAAATTTAAATTATATGTAAAACCAGATTATCCCTGAAGATGCCTGAGGAGGAGAAAATTTGGATAAATTTAAAATAAAGTAATTATTTATCAAGCCTAAAACCGTTTTTCTATTACCAAATACTTTGTTATATTAAACAATTAGGAATGATAGCACAGTTTTGAATAAGAACCAAGAAAAAACAAACTACAAAGTCAGGTTTAAAACGTTTATATATATAATACCAGAGAAATTAAAACGATCCACATATATTACAGAAATTAGTTTAGAAGAAGAATGTAATTTTAATGACAGAGAAATAAATGGCTATTGATAATCCAGTTGGAAAGTTGGTTGTGTATTGCAGAAATATAAAAACCAAAATTTATTTTCTTTTGTGCCGATTTTTCAGCTTGAGTTTCAAGGATAAAGAAAGACAAGAAAACAAACAGAACATATTAGCAAGAAAATAAAAAGATAAAATGTTTGAAAAAAATAATGTAATAAATTATTAAAAATACTGAGGAAAAGGAAAATTATTTCGTTTTGTATCTATTTTCTGCCTGAATTTCTGGGTTAAGGAAAGATAACCAAAACATATTAACAAGAAAATATAGAGATAAACTTGTTTGGAAAAAATAATGTAATAAATTATTTAAAATATTGAGAAAAAGGAAAATTAAAACTCGAAACTAGCTAAAGCATTTAAGAGTAGTATCTTATTAACTTTTTGATATCAATAAATAAAATTTACTTTTATTTCTTTCAGTAATTGAACCTAAGTACTGATTTCATACTCTTAAATACTAAGTAATAGTTTTTTTGTTTTCTAATAAATAATGTCAGCCATATAAATATTTCCTTCTATTACAGAAGATAATTCTTTAAAATTCTAGTCATCTAAAAAAGATCCTTTAAAAGTGACAGCTATCTAGAATATAGTGAAACAAATATTTAAAACATAATGGCAATTGTGAACCATAAAATTCAATTACTATCCTTCAAATAAAAAACACGAAGATATTAAAAGTGTTATTGAAAACTCGAAGAATAGTGAAATCTGCTACAAGCATACCATTATCACACAGTGACATCTCTAGAGGGATAGAAAATGTCTGCAGGAACAGTATCTCTAGAGCCTCATAATAGAGGATTTTTTTTTTTTTTTATTGAATGATAATTTCATTGCAGAAAAATTTTCTTTAAATATACAATAACTATATTTTTTTTCTGTATTTAGACAAAATTTCCCTTTATGGATTTATATAATTAATTGCATTAATACACTTTGCCATGCCTAAGCAATATTATGTATATATATTTGTTATTTACTTCATTTGTTTTTGGGAGTGCTTGATATTGTATTTATATTCAGTTGGCAAATTATTCAACTGATCATTAGAAACAATAAACATGATGACAGAAATAGATAGACATGATGAAACAATTTTTTTTTTTCAAAGAAGTTGGTTTTGAGTCCAGTAGAAGATGAACGTATATGTAAAAAATGTTTACTTTCTGTTTTCTGATGTTTTAATTTAAGTTTTAGGCTTTCATCAAGATTAAGTAAAGACAATATAAAACAAGCAATAAGAAAGAGAAAGAAAAAAAAAACATAATAAAAATTAAAAAAAAAAGGAAAATGGTAATGATAAATCAAACATTTATGTGTAAATAATCAAAATAAATAAATAATCAGATATGAATGAAATATCAGAAAAATTAAAATATATGACTGATAATAAATAATGGCAAAACATCAAAATAAAAGAGAAGTATTCCGATCCCTTAAATTATAAAAAGTATTCTTATACTTACATAGACTTATACATTTTAATTTACCCAACATAATGTAATTTTTCATTCATATTTCAGTATTGCTTTATTCATTAATTATACATGAATATTTATGTTTTATTTATCATTAACATTTTCCTTCTAATATAATATATAATTAATATAAACTATATAACTAATATAATATAATTATATAAATAAATACATTTATATAAATCTTCAGTCTTACCCCTGGTTTGTGCATCCAAAGCACAACCCGCTCCAGATGCACCACCGCCGATGATGAGCACATCGAACGATTCATTCTTTAATGACTTTAACTGTTCGCTTCGAGGAGGAAGAGGTCGCTTAACTAATTTAGCGTTACCTGAACTGGCGTGTACTTTTAATTTCTCATCTTCCTAAACAATGATATATTATTAATAAAAGAATAAATTTATTTTTCATCAAGATACATATAATATAAATATAGTTAATAAACTTTTCAGAAACTATAATTTATTAGAAAATACTTATGTTTAATCATTTAGCCAAAATCTTTAGAGTAATGAGATTTAAAAAAATAACTTAAAATTATGTTTTAATTTTTAAAATAGTCTTAACTTCATTATTCAGCAAAATATAAACTAATTGTTTTTCTTTGTTTTAATATTCAGGTAATTAAGAGAAATTAATTAATAAAACTGAAAATATTCATATCAAACAAATAAACTAAAATTATTTTAATTTATTTTTCATGACAGTTTTTTTTTTAGTTGATCTATTAATTTCAAAGGGAATTCTTATATCTGTACATCAAAATTAGGAAAGGATAAATTTAATTACAAGAACTTGTTTTTGATAATTATGCGTGAGTATTAGTAGGTCACTGATTAGGACGCATGAGCTTGAACTATTTATTGAATTCTTTTATAAATAACTATTTGCTAAAATATATATGCAAATGATATTTTAATTTTTTTTAACAATAATTATGAGGAATAAATTCCATAAAAATTAGAGCTTGTTTATTTTATACAATAGAAGCATTCTTTACTTATTTCACTTACTATAATGAGTCAATTAACAATTACTTGCTAATTAAAAAATAATGTTTAGAATAAATTAATTAAAAATATGTTCATTGATGAGAAACTTAACATTGAATTCATGATAAAAATTATCATAATTAATTTTATGTATATAGAGAAATTATGCCAATTTCAATTAACTTTATTTCCACCTTGACTTGAATATGTTTTTTTGAATTCCTGAATACATTTTTTTATACGTTATCACACAAATAAAATATACAAAGTATTTATAAAAATTTGATTTAGAAATAATCTTAAAGAGGTCAGTAATAGATTACATTTAATAGTGATCAAGTATCAGTGAAATAAAAATGTTTAAATAATTGTGACACAATTTTAATTAACTTGCATATTTTATAGACAATTTAGCAAAATAAATGTACAAAGTATCGATAAAAATGTCATTTATAAAAAATTATTAGACAATTGTAATAAATCATGTTTAAGATTACAAACATATTAGTGAAATTCACGTAAAACTTTTAAAATAATAGATTTGTGACACGATTTTATTTAATTTTATGGCTACCTTAATTTATTTTTTAGAATGATTGATTGAATATTTCACAGATAATATAACAAAAAAAGATGTACAAAATATTCATAAACATTTGATTTAGAAAGAATAAAGAGATATCGGTTATAAATTACACTCGAGATTGCAAATATATCAGTAAAATTCAAGTTTTGCGGCAAATTATTCAAAATATATAATTAAAATATTAAATATTTAAAAAAAAAACTTACAAGAAATGGAAAATCATTAATAAGCCATGAAGATAGATAAGCAGTTGATCCTGCTATAGCTGAACCAAAAGCAATTTTTGAGAATCTGGAGTGCATGATTCAAGTTTTCCTTGAACTAAGTCTTGTCATGCTCTTTCTGTGTCCTTAAAAATCTCTGCAAAACCTGCCCTGTCCATTACAGTAGTCACAACCAAAGCCTGGCCAATAGACTAGATTCAGCAAACAGCAAAAAAGATAAGGCAACACACCTTTTTCCCTCTCTCTCTCATCCTGACCTTGGGTTTAACTATCACATAATTACATCTCCCTGAGCAAAAGAGTCAAAATTTGATACAAATAGAAAAAAAAATGATGATATATTTAAAGATTAGATTAACTTACTTTACTATTTACGTATAACAACAAAGTTAAATGCAAAATAGAGTCATTAATAGAACTTGGCAATCCAAGTGAGTATAGAAGGTTACTCATTGTTAAATTTGTCCACAGTTTTAAATGGAATTTGGATAAAGAAATTTAAATGTCAAACGTCTACAACTAGAAATACCGTCGGTCAAATTCATACCTGGCGGTGAAACTCCATTTTGATATCTATGGAATACTTCCCAATGTTTATTAAAAGATCTATTTTAAGTGTTAGATAACAAAATTGACATATGTATAAATAATTTTATTCTAGTCCCCGATTATTTTTAAATGATCCTGTGTAAATCGACGTGGGGGTCCCTAAAATTAAAAAAGGAAAAAGGAAAAAAAAAATAGATCTTCAACCTCAGTGTTTTTTATAAATTTATTTATAGAAATTTAAAATTGTCGTTAATTGAAAGTATTTTAATTACTTTTGAACTGTTATCAGTTAATTTCGCTGCGATTCAACTAGCTTTTGTTACTTAGCGACGTTGTTTACTGGTCGCTAAGATCGAATTAGTGTAACTGATATCAATTAACAAGTTTTATCGTTAATCGTTATCTGCATAATATGGGTGATACGATGACTTTTACTGCTGAAACTGCAAGAGGTAATGTTAAAATCATATCACATTTAAAAAAAAAATATTATAATTACCTTTTTATTCCATCAGAAAGATTGGGCTAATTTATGTTTTGATAACAGCTGCACTTGAAGGAATTTTGACTGCTTTAGAAAGTGAAGAAGCTTCTCAGAAGATAAATGAAGCTAAAGCCAATGCAAGCAATGATATGTTAAAGGTTATGCAGTATGTATTTCCTTTGGTGGTACAGGTTGAAATGGATGTTATTAAAAAATTTGGGTTTACTGATAACAGAGAAGGTAATGCCCCAATTACAAATAATTTATACTACATAGATTACTGGATCACCTTTCGCACTTCATCGTTTTCTCTTTTATTTTTAGGAATTATACAATTCACCCAAATGATAGTTGCTCTAGAAAAAGAAGATGATGTTATAGCAGACTTACATACTCAGATTAGGGCACATTACTTGCCTCCAGTTAATATAGCAACAGATGTTAGTCTTTGACAGAAGTAAGAATATTTATTATACAAATACAAATCATAAATTTTAAAGTTACTACTGTGCAAGTGATATTCCTATTAGATAGGAGTACAAGATTTCATGATCACACTATAATTGGAATTCCGATAATGGCTGAGTGAATCCGAAAGTTGAAGATTGTGGTCAAACCATCTGGTAATGCCTTGACCTCAACAGAAAAAGGCCTATCGTTGGCTTATTTATCTTTTTTGATCCGAGTGGAACTCAAGAGCAGTGATATAATCAAAACTATTTAAGGCATAAATTTTAACTGAAGAGAAGGACCTGTTGGATGGGACTTTCCAGAAGTTGTTATTACAATCTAAATAAAGGGATGTTATACCTGTTGACAGGTCAGTACTCAGTCATTCTTGGAATTTCATGCATTTTATGATCATGCGATCTTATGCCGAGCCATTACAGTAGAGTAACATTTCTACAGCAGCGCCATTTTAAATGGCTAGAAACTAGTGCTGCTTTGGGTGGTAGTTCTGAATCACTGGACCCATATGGTAACTGGTTTCAAGTTCATCTTGAACACACTTGGAATCCTGAAGCAACAAATGTATATGACAGCTGATCTCTAAACCTTCCTAGCAGATATTTTACGTTTGGTTAGGTTACGTTTCCATTGCATTCACTTCTTTTCATATAAATAACAGCACATAGAGATTTATCCAAGGGTTGGTCGAAACAAACTTTCGTAAGAAATAAAACATAATTATTGTTTTTTTTTACCTGGAATTATCAAATACTATCAAAACAATACAAGGCACAATAGATAATTACAAAGCTAGGAATTAAATTATAGTGTTTGAGTTGAAACATTTGCAATCAAAATTAAATTTATATTTTAAAAAAACATTTCTTGATTGATTGTATTTTTAATAATATATATATAACAATATATATATGTAACAATTTTATGTATATATTATCTATAATCTATGGCAAGGCAGTTCCAGAGTAGTCCTTTCTCCAGATCAAAGCCATGTCTTTATAAGACGATAATGCGTCCAGTCTTTCTGTATGGTTGTGAGACTTGGACTTCTTCTCAGGCATGTGAACAGGAACTGCTAGTCTTTGATAGAAGAATCCTCAGACTTATCTATGGTGATGTCCTCGATATGTCGTCAGGATGGGCAGCGAGGATCCACCAGGACAACTGCTGATGGAGTCACTCCATGGTACCAGGAAACGAGGAACACCAAAGTTGCGATGGACTGATAGTGTTGTTGCTAATGCAACAAACATACTGAGTCTTCAGAATTGGATGTTGGCTATAAGAGACCGAGGCAATTGGTGGAAGTTGCTGTAGGAGGCCAGGATTCAAGTCACACTAATAATAATAATTATCCACAATCAAGTGCATTTTCTACCATTATGAAAAAGCACCTTTTTACATAATTTTCTCAATAAATCTCGTTAAGTGTTTTTTTAGGCTTTGTTGTTAGGACATGTTTGCCATTTGTATATGAATATGATTATTAATACTCTGTTAATTTTGGAATTTCATTTGCAATGTGCTCAAAGTGATCTTGAAAACAGCCACCATCTTGTAGTAATTTGGAACTAGTTCCTTGTTTTTAATATTTTATAAAGTTTCCTATTTCTTAATAATTATAATGTATTACAGAAATATCATAACTCAAATAACACATTTATTTTCCAATCTTTATTAAGTACACCATAATCAAGAATGAACAGCTTGTTGTTTAGTTGCCAAGTAACAACATCATTACAAAAAGATAATCGATTAATATTTATTAAAAGTAAATTCGATAATACATTACAACTTTCCCCCTTCAAATAAAAGTAACACAATTCATAAAAATATAAACACATCAATAACAGTAATATAATTCAAATTTCTTCAATAAGACGTCTGGGTTGACAACGCTTCTTAACAGGCCGAGTTGACTTGCAACTAGCCTAACTCTGAACTCTAGCCAACCAATCTTGAATAGTCTCTTTATTTTCCCTTTGGACATTATAAAATCGGAATTGAGCACTAAATCCTGCATCGGACTTTTGAAAATGTTTATCCAGCTTCGAAATTAGCCCAGAATCGGGCTTCTTCGGTACACACAAATTCAATATCAGCTTATACGCTTCCTCGTCGCATGAATTAAGAAATAGCGCCTGCTTTGTCTTCTCGCTTTCCAGAGAATTAATCGTAAAATAATTGTCCAATCTTCCTTTGAAGATAGACCAGTCATTCTTTAACGTAAATTCACGCAAATGACCCACATAATCTGAAGCCATAACTATAATATTGACTGGAAACTAGTAATTTAATTACTTATCTATCCAATGATGCATGGGAACATCTGGTCGCCAATATAATGTATTACAGAAATATCATTACTTAAATTTATTTTCATACATTTGTTTTCCAATCTTTACATAAGTACACAATCAAGAATGAACAACTTGTTGTTTAGATGCCAAGTAACAACCTCATTACAAAAAGATAATCGATTAATATTTATTAAAAGTAAATTCGATAATAATCTATTGTGTTTAGCTGAAAATTATTTTATGTTTTGGCTACAGTTTTATTAAAGGACAGATGCTTTTGTTGGTATGGAGGTTGAGGTGTCTATTTTATGATTAGTTTATGTATATGTTTATATTCTTCTTTCTCTTCTACTCTGTCTCATTTTGTGCATAAAGGAGCAATTTTCAAGTAGAAAGAAATCTAATTTAAAAATTAAAAGTAATCATTTCTTGAGATATTTCCATTTACTTATGGGATATCCAATACTGTTTTTTCTGCATCCTGCTCTAGATGAAGAAGTAATGGGAAGAACTATCCCAAGTTTGTCCGTAAACTTTAATTATAGTCACTACAATATTATTTATGGAACGCTACAGCTTGATCGATGTTTATGCTTACTATTCCATAATATATCAGCAAATTTTATTATTGCTAGACTTTCTGGCAAGTTTGAAAATGGCCTTAAATTTGGAGAAAATTAAATTGTTCAGTAATTTTCACAATTAGCGGTTATAAATGAAAAAGTGTGGTTCTTATACGTTGTAGTACAACTTATTGTATTTCTATAAATGTCAGCTAAAAAATCAAAAAGCAGTTATATAACAATCATTCCATAAAATGAAATTTCTTCTTAAGGAAGGTGGGTTCGATAAAAAGCTGTTTATATTTAAATCCAATTATCGATAATTCTTGTTTTTGATAAATCATTGATACGTTTTAATCACTTTTAGACATGAGATATTAGATCCTACCACGAAACATGTATTAACATTTTGTATTTTAATTATTTTCCTTATTCTTAAGATAGTAGGCTGATCAATCTAAGATCAGGTAACTACGTATAATTATCTAAAGTAGTTATTTGATTATCGTTTACACTTCCGGGGATTTATTATCTATTGCTAAGCATTTAGATAAGTTATCAGTAATTTGATCCTATAAGTACATCATTCTTTTTAATGCACATTTCTGTTGTAATCCCTTTATCATTTGTTTTTTTAATTCAACTTCTCAGAAATGGCTTTATAAAATTAAATATCAACTTAAGCAGAATCACTCCTTTTCTACCTCATTTTCCCAGATTCTATATCTTAAATTAAAAAAAGAATATATATAAAAATAATATGTTTAGATAAATAATTTATTTATTTCCAGTAATAAAAAGAAAGTTTTCATGTAAGAATATTGTTTTTTTTCCATTTAATAAGATTGGAATGGCTTAGTAATAAAAAAGTCGAGAAATACAATATTGCTTCATTGTTGTGATTTATGTATAAGCTTGGTTATTTCCAAAGGGTCATTGTTAAAAAAAAATAAACCGATACAAATTCTCTATACTGTATATTTGCTAAAAAATGGTCCAATTTTGATTATTTAATTACCTTCCAAATAACTATGTGTATAATCAATGAATAAAATATTGAGGAAAGAGAGGATCTGAAATTAAAATCAAGAAAATAAAATTAAAACGAAAAAAATTAAAATATTCAAATTTCAAATTTTCAACACATTCTCTCAAACATCCGAGGTTCGAATCCGGCTGATGACTAGTAATTTTTCATCAGCCGTGGATCGACCCTAGTGTCGGGAGACCCTCCTGGGGCAAGTGGGTACTCTTAATTAAATAGTTAATTAATAGGGAAAACCTGGCGTTTGAGCATGATATCAGCCCAATCACCTCCATGGCCTTGTAACAGTACTTCCTCACATTGTACTGCACCCTTCATGGGTTGTAGTGGTACATATAGACATAAAATTATCATTACCAATTTTATTTACTTTATTTTAGTTTCTGGTTAGTTAGTTTTATATTTGAATTTTTTTAATAATTCATTTACTCTGTTTATGTTTTGTATTGCTCTTAATACTTTTATATACTTTCTATTTACACTAGTTATAGCTTTTATCTAAATATGTAATTCCCACAATTTTATATATCCTTATGTATCTTGGTCTTTCTAGCCCTGATGAAGTATATTTATCTAGACCTGCATAGTTGGTTCTAAACGTTGACTTAAAATATAATTGTTTTTCACTATTTTAAGGTATTATTTTCACAAGGCTGAGACTGGTGGTAGTATTTGGGGAAGAACGAATGGATCTCCCCAGTAACTATGAGTCAGTTAATCCAACCAGCGTACTTAGATACGCGGAAGCGACAAGAATAACATTTTAATTAAAAACGACTAACTGAAATTGGCGCACAATGGACCCATTAGGGGTCGACGTGCTTAGGGCCAACACTAATAAAATAAAAAATAAAAAAAGGTATTTTATGACCACCATCATGTACCATCTCTTTCCTCAATGTTATATTACGGTCAACTATTGTGTACTCAATAAAATAAATGCTTTTTGCATTATGGACAAATTAATTATTCTTTTCTTCATAACTTTATTCTTGTTTTTTTCTGGAGGATGTACTATTTACATAATATATAAAAAGATATTTTTTGGCAATTGCGCTATCCCTATTAAGCGTAAGGTAAC